TTCATTTAATATTCAATAATTTAACAAAAAAATGAAACTAAATTAATAATACCCATCAACACGTTATAAAGGTGGAAGCTTTAATAAAAAAATAGGAACTGGGATGAGAGAGAGAGAGAGAGATAATATCAGATAGAGAGATTAAATCATATTAGAGAGAGACTAGAGAGAAAGAGATACAACAAAAGCGTAATAAAAATTGACAACAATGATGCTGAGATGATCTCTTATCTACTTAAGAGAAAAAAAGACAAAAAAATAAAATTGATATGATCAGGTGGAACCTTTATCAATATATTTTAATTTTTTAAAAAATATTTAAAAAATAATTTTTTTAAAAAAATAATTTTTAAAAAAATAATTTTTTTACGAAAATGCCATTTGACCGTGTTGGAGCGTATTGGACACAGTCAAATTCGCGTGTCGAAATGGTTAACGTGTCGAGAAGGTTGATCGCGTGTCGGACACCGTGTCGAAGCGTGTCGGCGTGTCGGACACGACACTCCCTGTTTTTTGGAGTGTCCGTGCTTCCTTGCTTCCAGTCGACAATGAATGCAATCTTTGCTTCTTTTTTAAGGAAATTCGTGGTGATATTTTTTGATGACATACTAATCTATAGCTCTTCTCTTGCACTGCATCTGATCCACTTAAAGGTTGTCCTCAGTACTTTACGAGCTCATGCTTTATTTGCAAAGAAAGAGAAATGCTATTTTGCACAACCTTAGATTCCTTACTTAGGGCATATCATTAATGGACAAGGGGTAGCTCCTGATCCAGAAAAGCTACGTGCCATAATGGAATGGCCAGTTCCCACCTCTGCTACTCAACTACGTGCCTTTTTGGGAATTTCTAGTTACTACAGGAAGTTCATCCACAAATATGCTTCACTGGCAGCACTTTGTCACACTTATTATCCAAAAAGGGGTTTATGTGGATGGATAAAGCCACTGAAGCGTTTCAACTCCTCAAACACTTGTTGGTGACAACTCCAATTTTGGTTTTACCTAATTTCTCAGAGCAATTTGTAGTCAAAACAGATGCCTCTGGGGTAGGCATTGTGGCTGTACTTCTACAGAGGGACCTACCAATAGCTTTTCATAGCCGTAAATTGTTCCCCGCTATGCAAAGACAATCAGTATATGTGCGAGAAATGTTTGCATCACTTCAGTCGTTAGCAAGTGGCATCAGTACTCCTGGGTTCGCATTTTACCATAAGGACTGATCACAAGAGCCTGCATAACCTGATGAATCAGGTTATCCAAACTCCTAAACAACAACAATTTATATCTAAACTGTTGGGCTTCAATTATACGATAGCATACAAAACGGGCAAGGCCAACATTGTGGCCAACAGTCTATCTCGACTGCTTGAAGAGGGAGTTGCGAACCAGACACCCCAATTATTGGCCATTTCAGGCCCAATACTTAACTATTCCAAAATTTTACAGTCCGAGTACATGTCTGATCCTTACACTACAACACTTATACAAGAATTATAATAAAATCCTAATGCTATGGCTGATTGGCATTTCAGGAACGGATTACTTTTTCATCGATCCCGTATATTCCTCCCAGCTAAGTCCTCTTTAATCCCTCACATTTTGCATGACTTTCACACGTTTGTGCAGGGAGGCCATTCTGGGCTTCAAGCCACGTTCCACAGAATCAACAGTAACTTTACCTAGAATGGATTACGCAGGGATGTTAAGGCTTACATTCATAAATGTGAATTGTGTCAGAAATTAAAGTCTCCTAATCATTTACCACTTGGGTTACTCCAACCCATACAGACCCTAGAGACATTGTGGACTCATCTGAGCATGGATTTTATTACACACTTACCTGCTTCTGCTCAGTGCACAACTATTCTGGTAGTGGTGGACTAATTCTCCAAAGCCGCTCATTTTATCCCTATGCCAGCCCACTATTTTGCATCCAAGGTGGCCCAATATCTCTGGGATTTCGTCGGCAAACTCCATGGAATGCCAGAGTCCATCATATCTGACAGAGACCCAATTTTCTTGAGCGATTTCTGGTGCTCTCTATTCAAGCTACAAGGAACTAAAATTAGTTTTAGTTCAAGTTACCACCCCTAAACGGATGGGCAAACAGAACGAGTAAATATATGTCTTGAAAATTACCTGCGGGATTTTTGTCACGCCCAACCATCCAAATGGTCCAAATTTCTAAGTCTGGCTGAGTTTCACTATAATACATCTTTCCATTCGTTTACTGGTTTAACCCCATACCAGGTTATGTTTGGGAGACCACAACCAAATCTCTTGGCTTACTGCTTAGGCTTGTCCACGAATGAAGCGGTGGATGCTACCCTTTCAGAACGGATGACCCTCATGAGCACATTAAAAGAAAATTTATTTAAGGTTCAACAAATGATGAAAGCACAATCAGACAAAAAAAGGAAAGATTGGAGCTTTACCTCTGGTGATTTAGTTCTGGTTCGACTACAGCCATACAACATCTTTCCCTCGAACGCTGATCATCTCAAAAATTAGCCTTGAGATATTATGAACCCTTTGAGGTAGAGGAACGGATCGGATCCGTAGCATACCGTCTGAAACTTCCTCCCACATCCAAGATACATCTGGTGTTCCACGTATCATTGCTCCGTCCATTTCGTGTGGGACAACCATTCAAGGTTCATCCTTTACCCACTATAGACTCGGATCAGCCTTTGCACAACACACACCCTGTGCACTAGTTGGTGCTCGAAAGATTTAGAGACGAGGAGAACTGGTTCCTCAGGTGCTGGTTTAATGGTCGAGCCTTCCACTAGAAGACTACACTTGGGAAGACAAGGAAGTGATTTTAGCCAACACACACGCTAACCTCACAGGGCGTGAGTATCTAATAGAGGAGACTCCACAGGGAAATGAGGGTGATTTCAATATCACAGAGCAGGGGGGGCAAGTTCCGATTTTTAACCGCAAGAAACGTGAAGGGCAAAAGAAGAACATCTGGGTTCCTCCATGTTCAACTGAGGTACTAAGTAACACAGTGACAGAGTTTCAAACCAAAGACCCCACCATAGACACCATGACCAGAGGGGAAAAGAAAGAGCCTAAGGATTTCAGACAGTCCCACTTAGTCTTAACCCAAGACAAGCCATCAATTCCAATAACTCCCCACCTACCTGCACCAACAGTTCAGATTCATTCTCCAATGTTGGCAACATCAGCACCATCCAGCTCATTCAGTGATCTCCAGCTGTCTTCCACGTTAGTTCAACATCCAACGGCTCACAAGTCATCTACCTTGTTGGCAACATCTACTCCGCTACTTTCCACCTTTCTAGTGACCAATAGCGCAACTCCAACCATGTTCACTCAGTCAGACAACCTTTCAATTCCACTTACTAATACGACAGCTAGACTTGAGGACAAGTCCACACTTGCAGGAGTGGGTGATGTTATGGACTCCAACCCAATACTTAACAAGCGTGTGAGGAGAAGGCCGACCCATTTCCAAGATTATGTTGTAGGCTGAGTAATATATCTTTAAATATGTTAATTAAGTAGTTGCTTTATGATAGTACCATTACAACTTAATGACTTGTAAGAACCCCTTTACAAATAGCCCACTGGCTTAGTTAATGCATATGGAGTATTCAGATAATTTTCTCTCTCTGTTCTATCTCTCTACACTCTCGTACATTCCCTAATTTCCTCTTTGGTTAAGGAACTCTGTTACATTATCCTTTTAAATAATATAATTTGTGTCATTTCATTCTCACAAAGAGGTGGGACCCACACCTTTATTTTTTTATCCACTCTCTCCCCCATGATCTATCTCTTTATCTCACTTAAAATGACACAACTTTACATCCTTTAAAATGACACACACTTTTTCCAAATTTTAATGAATGTATTGATAAGGATCAAATCCAATTCGAGTATAATATTGTTATGGATGGCCCCTCAACATTTGGCCCATTAAGGCAAGGCCAAAACCCCTCCTCTCATCTACATTAGTCTTGCTGACTAAGGACTACCAACCCACCTTTCTTTATGTCCCCACATGACAATGTCCCCAATATAAGATATCAAAATATCTTACTTTGGGATACTACCTCCCTCGGGTAGCCTCCTCAAACCCCCCTAAATGAGAGTTTCCCCTCCGCAGCTACAACAACAATGACTGCCACCAGCATAACAGATACTACATGCGCCCACGGCACTCACCAAGGAGAGTTGACCCTTCTCCCTTTATAAATATCCCTCCATCATCGAGCAAGGAGATCCATCTTATATTGCGGATTCAGACTTCATACTTGGGACGTCGCCGTTTAACCTGATCTCTACCTTTGTTAGCGGCAACACCCATATAGTGATTTACATCCCCTCCAAGGGAACCTATTGGGCTTGCAGCTTTCAACGGTACAAATATATTAGAGAAATATAATATAAAATTATTAATATGACCTTCATCTAATAGTTTAAATTTGTTTGGTTTAATTACATTTTACATAATATTTTGGAATGTGATTATCCTAATTTGAAACAAGAAATCTTATATAACTTTTTTGAGGTCTATATTATTAAGCGAGCACCACATGGGGTAATTAAAAAATAAAATAAAAGAGTGGGGTAGCCTCCATAATTGAATGGGATTCAATTTGGTCATCTAATGTGAGGTTTTTATTTAGTTATTAGTGTTACACGTGTTTTTCTTCATACCCTGCATATGTCACACCATTTATTTCATATTGTATATTGCGCCCAATTTCAATTTGTTAATGGATGCACAGAAAAGATTTCTGGGTTAAAAGTATTAAGTTAGCAACTCTTTTCATCCCTTTGCAAGGATATTGATGGTACCCGTTTAATTCTCAGTACCCGCACATTGTTGGTTTGCAAAATATATATATTTGAGGGTTAATGAATAATAGATATAAAAAATAAAAACAAAATAAAAATGAGAGTCTCCCTAATATTTTTTTGTGGGGTACAAATACTACATTTGTAACAAAAAAGTAGCCACAGAAAAGTACAAGATCCAGAAGTAGTTTTGAACTCAAAGCCAGGAAGGCTTCAAATTTGATAATTACTTCAAACCACAAGAACTCTAATTTAGCTACCCAAACCAACTGTTACAATGGAAACGACACAAACAGTCAGCAAATCCCAACCAATACACAATACCTCTATTTAACCATTACAGCTTATTGTTGTACCAATAAACACCTTTGCTCTTAGTTCCTTCATCAGGTTCAACATAAATACACTCTTTTGCCTCTCTCCACATTGCCTTATAAATAGAAGTCCCATCAAACTGATAATAGTCTCCCAAGATTGGCTTTATAGCCTTTGTAGCCTCCATTGCATGATAATGAGGCATGGTTGAAAACAAGTGATGAGCCACATGGGTATCTGTTATATTGTGCAAAACCTTATTCAAAATTCCATAATCTCTGTCCACAGTAGACAAAGCCCCTCTAAGCCAATCCCACTCAGAGGAATCATAATGAGGCAATGAAGGGTGTGTGTGCTGCAAAAATGTGATCAACACCAAAAAACCATTGACCACTAACAATGGGCCTCCATAAACACAAACAACCCAAAGAAGCCCTTTGGCCAAAACAAGATGATAAAGCCCATAAAACATTGCAAGTATTCCAGCATCTGAGATGAATATTTGAAGCCTTTCACGATTTGAATAAATGGGGCTATAAGGGTCATAGTGGCAAGCAAAACTATCATAATGCCTGCCAGAAACATTGAAAGCCAAGTAAAGTGGCCACCCAAGTATAAGTGTTATAGCAAGTGTGAGAACTCTTCCTGGTGGGTTGTTAAGGTACTTAGAGTACCAACTCATACTTGACTTTTTCTTTGGCACAAAAACCTCATCACGGTCAAGGGAACCAGTATTTGAGTGGTGTCTACGATGGCTATATTTCCATGAGAAATAAGGGACCAAGAGAGATGAATGGAGAACAAGGCCAACTAAGTCATCAAGCCATTGATAGTCACTGAATGCATGGTGACCACACTCATGTGCAATGACCCAAACACCAGTTAGGACACTTCCTTGTATAATCCAATAAATGGGCCATGCCAATAAAGAAAGATTGTGAGGAAGGTCAGAAAAGTAATGGGTTGCAACATATGCAAGGCATGAAGCTATGGTGAGGTCAAAGACCACATAAGAAAATGAACGAATTACAGAGCGATTAAAACAGTGCTGTGGAATTGCCTTCTTTATCTGGCTGAGACTAAACTCTGGTTTTTCATGTGGGACACGCTTCACTTCATTCCCTGCTTTCCTTTTATGACGAGGAACAGAGGTTCGGCCACCAGCTCCCATTTTCACACAACCTGTATGTGTATATAACAAAGTACATTTCGTTAACATAACAATCACATAAATATCATACCATTTACTATGCAAATTTGTTTACATTTTAAACTTAGTCTACACACATACTAAAGTACTAATCAGAAAAACACATACTCTTAACTATCAATCATTGGTTTAATTGACAAGAAGAAACTTGTTTATCTTAAGCATCTTCATATGAATCCGATAGAAAAAAAAAATACAAAAATATGTGAAATTATTATAAATATTTTTATGTGTAAGTATTATCTTTGTTGACAAAAATTGCTCCAATAACGTGTTGTCCCTATGAATGTTACAATTTTGAACAAAAGTCGTTAAATCAATTAAATACATACCGGAGAAACTGAGACGTAATCAAAGTTAAGCCGTGAAAAATTAAAACTACAAATTAGGAATTAGGTACAAGTCTATTCGTACACATTTAAATAATAGAAAACTAAACGTGCAAAAAGCATGAATCTATTTTTAATTCTCCCCGCACTTCATTTTGCTCACATGGGGTTATCCAAATGAATGAGATCATTTTTATATTAAAAGTAGGGTTCCTTATTTTTTTTATGTTGATGCAAATTATTTTTGTATCAAACGATTATAATTATGTATTTTTGTGGTAAAGCTATTTTTTCCCTCTCTCTTGTAAATTGTTTGGTGACGTGAAGAAAAAAAAAAAGTTTTACTATGTGTTTTCAATAATACATTATTATAATACCGGCACAGATTTCAAATGATATGAGAAGATGACTTTGCAGCAACATGAGAATTATTTTTGTCTAAAAACATCTACATAAATAGTATCAGAAAATATTTTTTATTATATAACCACTAGAGGTAGCTTAGAAATTGAGAAATGAATTTTCTCATGTGTAATTTAACATGATCATGTCATGTGGGAGGATTTTAACTATTAATAATTAAATCAACGGTGATGATTGTGTAACTTCCTATTCTTATATTTTTTTTCTCTCCTCCTTTATCACCATTAACTCACCCATCTATGGTTATGATTGCTCCACATGACATGATCCTGTTAATTAGCACATGAGAGGATCCACTTCCAAAGAAATTGTATTTTATAAAAGGTTTGCAACTTCTCTCTTATATTGCATGAGAAGATGAAACTTTCCTATTAAGAAAAAAAAAATGGGCCATCCTAAAAAAAATAATAAATAAAAAAATAGCTGACACGAATATGAAAATGAGAACGACTGAAAAAAAAAAGTTTTCTTGGAAGATGAAAAGTCTTTTTCCCTTTTATAAATGCTCCTTTTGAGTTTGAAATGTGTCCCTGTCGCCGCGCATCAAGATCCACCAAAGTCGAATAAAGTAACTCCGTGTGATCAATGATCATTTCAAACATTATAATAAAACTGATAATCCACAAAAATGAAAAACAAAAAGCATAGACACCTTGAACGGAGCAAAGGTCAAAATCTGCCGATGATAATCTTATTTATCAATAATTTTTAGTTTTCAAAAAGACTTCTTCAACCTTAAATTCTTGTTTTTTCGAAAATTATATAGCAGAATGAAATATCAAATCAATCATGACAAACTAATACAAAATATAAAGTACACCATTTTTTAAATAATAAAATAAAAATTCTAAAATTCTAATACATGCTCTTTTTATCCTTCTGTATCTTGAAAAAAGTAAAATATGAAAGATTTAATGTATAAATATCATTACTTCAAAAAAAAAAGTAAACAAATAAAAAAAAGTATCCCCAACAAGTGGAAACAAAAGTACCACTGTTCGTTTTACTTAAAAAAATTAACGCTGTCACTTGAGCACCATTACAGGACCGAAAACACTACAAAAAATCCCGAAAAAGATGTTCATCCTTATATCCAAGAGAACCTTTAAACGTCAACAAAAAAAAAAACAGCATGGACAAGCAGAAAGACACAACAATCATGGAAAACAAAAAAATAACGAAACAAACATTAATAAAAGCATCCACATTACACATGAATTGGCCTGTTAGGAGTGGACTAGGTAATAAAAAACACCTTAAATTCTTGAATAAATGAATAACAAACGGAAACTATTAGATCTAGTAAAGTAAAACAAAACCAAGAGGAATAACACATACCTAGGAAATAAATGAAACATAAAAATAAAAAATAAAAAAATAGAATACCTGAAGCGAAAGGAGAAGGAATAGAAAGTGTTGTTATAGATTTCTTCTCCTTCTGTGTATGCAGAGAAAGAGATGGCAGCCTAAGAATTTGATTGAAGAAGAGGTGTATTTATGCTGTTGTTTCTCCTCTTCGAAATGCAAGTTTGCATTGAATGAAGGGGCCCACCATTCATGGACGGTGTTGTCTCTTTTGGAGAACTATTTTTTTCTTTTCTTTTTTTCAATACCAACACACTTTCCTATTATCTCTCGCTCTATTTGACTCTCTCTCCCTTTTACTACCGCTCCATCTGGCCATACGTATGGAACTGCTTATAGCCCTATACTATTCCCAGATTGTACTTTTTCACCACAAGCGAGCACGCAACTAATTAATATTTGATAATTTACCTTTAATACTTATATTCTATATTTATATATATATATATATATATATAAAACTAGACTAATTCCCTATATTTTATTGAGTAAATATCTTTTTTTGGTCCTCATCAAATTTCACGACGCCCGTTTTAGTCCCTAACAAATAAAAAGTCCATCGTGGTCTCTAAAAAATTCAAAATGGCCTATTTAGTTGAAATCGTGGTTCCTCACAAATTCAAAAAAGATCTATATTAGTCCCTAAAAGGACTAAAATGGGTCCATTTTGAATTTTTTAGGGACCACGATGGGCCTTTTTATTTGCTAAGAACTAAAGCGGGCATCATGAAATTTGTTGAGGACCAAAAATGGTATTTACTCTATTTTATTTGAGTAGTATAACACTTTGTTATTGGACCGGTTTGTTAACATCCATATAATATTTAGCGCAATTACAATCACAATAGCTGAGTTAAATATTTACGGATAAACTTTTTTTTTTCTTTTATTAAATCAATAATATCCTTTTCTGTAATCAATTAAGTCCAACACTATAATTATAACGTAACTTAGTTTGGAAGCGTATATCTAATTTATAACACCTACAAGCAGTGTCACTAGTTCAAAATTCTAATATTTCATTCCTTTATTCTTAGTTACAGCAAGGGTAACGCGCTTGAGTGTCCAGTAGCACGCTTAAGCGCGCTGCGCAACCCCAAAACTTTTATTTGAAGAGCGCGTTGTAGCGCACTGCAGGGCATTTTAGCGCCCTAAGGAAAAGAATTTCTCCACACACAGGCCTTCCTGCGCACTTCAGCGCGCTCTGATGGAAATTTCCTTCAAAATTCCTGGCCATCGCGCGCTTTGGCGCACTTGTGGGCGCTTGAGCACGCACTACCCGTGCAAAACACAAACACTTTTTTTTACATCACTCATTAGGAGTTATTTTTCCCACTAGTCATATAACCTGATTGACAATATCAAGAAGCACCTATCATATATCTATTACCACATCTCAAGATTCAATTGATCCATGACCTTTCCATTATATGCATACTCCTAATATACTTCATCTACAACATTAATTTCCTCAAACATAACCAAAGTGACATGGACATGCCCCATGCTCACCAATACTCAAATTGACAACATAAGACATATACAAGTTCATAAGCCAAATTACAATCCATGATTAGGTGACTTAGAACTAGATATGAACAACTCAAGCATGGCAAATACAATCTCATGCAACACAATGTCCATATCCTAAGTCAACTATACAAAACGAATGCTAGTGTGTGCATCAAATGAAGTCTCTCCAATATGTTATACAATCTATATGCACAACATGTATCCATCACAGGCCCTAAGTAGGCTTCTTCCCTGATGCTCTAGCATGATCAATAGTACCTGAAATGGTGCCCCAAAATGTGGGGTGAGATATACCTATATATTTCAGTAAACCAAGGGTCCTGGAAGGTCACTCCACCCAATGGCTCACTCAAATGTGCAACATAGATAATATCCATATAGTATGTCATGCAATCAAACAAACAACTGGGCAAAAATCAAAGAACATCCATCATGGATTCCGTTCAAGGACTCCTTTATACAACTACCGGGACCCTCCTAGAGAGTTCACAACTCTAAGGCACGGCGCCAACCAGAACTCCCTCATGAAGACCTATCCGGTGGAAGTCTCCAACAAATCTTTCTACTAGACAGTGAAATAGGCAATTAGGCTCCACGAGCAATTAAGCTTACAACAACATACATATTACCTATGTAGCACCGATACGACACGCGACACGCGACACGACACGACACTCCGACACGTCAATCCTAAAAAATTATGGATTTCGACACGTTGGGACACGTTTTAATATTAAATAATATTTTTAATTTATATAGTGTATATTTCATTTAATATTTAATAATTTAACAAAAAAATAAAAATAAATTAATAATACCCATCAACACGTTATAAAGATGAAAGCTTTAATAAAAAAATAAGAACTGGGATGAGAGAGAGATATAATATCAGATAGAGAGATCAAATCATATTAGAGAGATCAGAGAGAAGAAGATACAACAAGAGCGTGATAAGAATTAACAACAATAATGCTGAGATGATCTCTTATCTACTTAAGGGGAAAAAAGACAAAAGATAAAATTGATATGATCAGGTGGAAGCTTTATTAATATATTTTAACTTTAAAAAAATATATTTTTAAAAAAAAAAATTAAAAAAAATTACGAAAATGCCATTTGACCGTGTCGGACACGGTCAAATTTGCGTGTCGGAATGGTCAACGTGTCGGAAAATGTCAACCGTGTGTCCAACACTGTGCCGGAGCGTGTCGGAGCGTGTCGGACCCGACTCTTCCTGTTTTTACATGTGTCCGTGCTTCCTTGCATATTACAACAAAACATATTCAAATGCATGGGCATACCATATTAAACATCATCACAAAAGACAATTTCCAACCATTCCCAATGGACATAGTTGAGCAAACAAGGGGATTAACCCTAGAACACAAAGTTTACCTTAATCTCGTGTGGTTAAGGACCAACAAGCTCCTCGAAGCGAAGTTCTAAGATTCAATCCTCTTCTATAGGATCAAAGCGAGCCAACCTATAATGATCATGCAAAAAATGATCATCAACAACTTGATCAATAAGTTGCAACAATCACACAACACACAACAACTCTCACATTCCAACCCAATTTCCATCAAAATATGTTCATATGGCCGATGGGCACCTTACCACAAACCAAGGACTCCAACCAACCATGATTTCCACCATTTCCAATTATTCTATCATGTTTTACTCCTCATCAATTCCATTATTTAATGCCCACAACACCCTCACATAATTTCCACCAACCATACTTAGGACTCCAACCACCATTTTCATCATAAATTTCACTAAGTTATCAAACTTTATCACCATTAATTTGTTTAATTTTCATCACTTATCATCCTAAGCATTAAATTTCAAAGGAGGCATACCATTAAATGCCCCCAACTAACATAATTCATATACACATACACTTAGGTTCATCAATTTTATGATCTCCATAAAATCCAATGCAAGTTGAAATACTTACCACCAATAGTCTTCAAATGATCTTAGGAGGTGTTTCCAAGCAATCAACCAAGCTAAACCACCCCTAAGTTCCTTCTACAAGCTCAAAAAATGTCCTCCCCTTCCACAAGAAGATCTATTCACACAAAGACCCCTAAGAAATCCACTCAACATGAAAGTCACTTACAAGAGGGTGGGGAACAACTTTGTAGTTCACACTTTTCTCTCAAAATGCCTCTAGCTCAAAGTGGAAATTCAAAAAGCTTTCTTGCCCTAACTATGGAGATGCACGGCGGTGAGGAAGAAGAGAAGAGAGAGAATGAGCTAAAAATTTGATTTCTAATGTGTTTTAATGTTGTAACATTAGTGAGGATGAGTCCCATTTATTACTTTACTCACTTAAACATACTCATTTAATCCACTAATCTCAAATATTCATCTAATAATTCCATTAATCCACTTTTAATATATTTTCAATCCTAGAAAATAAATTTTATTTTCACTATTTCTTGTAAAATTATACTGCAGTATTTAACCCGGTAAAATTTACTATTCATCAATTTTTTTCAAAACGTACCAATCAACTCTAAATTTCGTACGGAATCCATTTTCAGTATTATTTTTATTAGTTTATGCTCATATTTAACATTTCACAGTCTATGGTTACATATTTGGCAATTTATTATTTTGCCCCCGATGGGTATTTTGACCCATAACTCAGGATTTTCACTAAACAAACCCCCTTAACCCTCAATTAGGCATTTAACATTATATTTTAAATATATGAGGTGTTATACATAGACCTTACTATTTTATGCCACTTCTTTTAGGATTTGTTTGATGGACAAGATAAGAAAATAATGGATAGGATAAGAGGATAAGCACATATCCTATCGTGCGTTTGATGTACATTAGATAAATAGTCTGATAGAATAATGTTATCTATTGGGTGTTTGACCGGAACCATATAGTGTCATGATATGATACAAATAGACAAAATACCCTTTCTAACATACTTTCATGTGATATTTTAAAATTAATTTTTAAACTACTTTTTTTTTACTTATTTACATATTAGTTCATATTTTAAATTATCAAAAAAATTTAAAAGTCATAATTTTAAATAAAATATATTAAAATACATAAGTAACATACAAATTTTTAAAATAAAAAAATTATATCCTCACCAAATATTTTTTTTAAAATTTATGTTTTAAATTGATTGTCAATATTAGTGGCCGGTGACTTATGACAATGGTTGGTGCAGTGGGTGGCTGATTGAATTGGTGGTGGTGGTTATGGGGAGTGGTGGTGGTGACCGATAGTGGCGACGACGATGGTGGTGGTGTTGGTAGAGCCGGAGCCGACGCTAATCGATGGTAATTATGGTGGTTGACTGATGGCAGTAGTAGTGGTGGCAGTGATGATTTTTGCCTAATGATTAGGGATGATGGTGGCGGTGGCGGTGGCCAATGGCGATGGCAACTTGGTGGTTGTGAAATATGGAAGTGGTTAATGCAAATGGCGGCAGCAATTAGTTACAATTTTGGGAGTTAATCTGTGGTGTGGTGATTGTAGCTAGTGATAATGGTAGTGGCTAGTATTATGGCAATAGCC